CTGTTATGTTTTGAACATGCAGGTTTGCTTTTTACTGAAAACCCCTTCAAATGTAACGAAAGCCAATGAACGTGAAACCTGATTGTACAGTTTCTTCATCCTTCTTTGGTAAGTGTGATGAAAAATCTGGAACGATTTTTCGTACTAGCACTTGCTCGGCAAGGCATTATCCTAGAAATAGGTCAGTCGCCCAGTGAAGAGAGTCGGGTGCTGCGCTCGGTAAATGAGTTATGTAGTTTCGAATACAGCACAGCGAAAAGAAAGGATAGAGGGGTACAGAAAGATTACAACCAAAATTATTTCTCTCGAAAGAAATAGTTTTCACTGAGTTTTTCTGCAAAAAAAAAGAATTGTTTGCCCAAACACGCTCGGCTACAACCACTTTTCTTCTTATAAAGTCTAGTGATACTTTACATATCGAAGAGATGGAGAGGGCGTGGTTGCGAACTTACTTTGAACATGCCGTCTTTTCCCGCGTTTTTCGATTTTCATTTGAAACAACTGTCATTCTGTCTTGAGCTGAGAAACATGATTACAGCTGTCCCAAAACGAAAATATACTCCCGCCAAGTTTAGCGAAACTACGGAGCCACGCCCACTCCATCTTCGGGATATGAAGTGTATGTATCTACACTTCCCTATCTCACAGGACGTCGAGGCGAACATGGCGTTATCGCCAGCGGACGTGTTATTCCGACCGATGTCAGCCCCTCTCAACCCTCGACCAGCTCTCATAGCGATGCTAGCGTACCGACTGTTCAGATGGCATTATCACCTCCTCGGACTTCACCTCGACCTCCTACTCCGGTAACGATTTGCTCTCGTACGCTCATAGCATCCACCTCCTTCATGAAGGAAACAGATTACCCTAAAACTTCGTCTGAATCAGGAAACCAAAAGAAATACTTCAGGTAAGACGCGTTCTACGCCGGAAAGTAGGTGTCATGCTTCCTACCCGTATGCTCAAACCAGCAGGAGTAGGAAGGGAGGATCGACCTGCTGTTATCACGAGACTCTTAAATGAGGCACGTGCAATAAGACAGGAGGCTCCAACCGGCTGTCATGTTTCTCCTAAGGTAGCTCTCTTGTGAGTTCATTGTCATTTCAAAATCCTTTTCGATTTCCAGAGGGACGACATCTTTCAATGGGTAGCGGTAATAGAAGGACCAGCCGACACTGTTTACGATGGTGGCACCTTCTTCTGTAATATCCATTTTTCCATGAACTACCCGACGTTGCCGCCTAAGGTTATGATTACCAAGTCTGCTTGTGGCCACCAGTTTGTATTAATTGCTCCTCTCATTGGGTATTTATTTGCAGGTGGAGTTTCTGACACGGATATATCACTGCAACGTTAACGCTCAAGGCGAGGTGAGTATCTTTTGCTCATTAATGAGTCTTGATGTACACAAAATGTTCTGGCAACTTGCTCACTGAACCCTCATCTTATTCGTGTGCCTAAGCGAAAAAAATTTGAATTGAGAAAAAATTTTGGTTGTTGATCGATTCAGAAGAAATTTTGATTAGTTTAGAAAAAATATTGAGCGGAGTCAATAGAGCTCATAATTTTAGACAGAAAGTACAGGGGGGGGGGCAAAAAAAGTCACTTTTCTTCATTGACTTTCGAGGCGCTATAAGTTACACTTTATTCTGATCGGACATTTTTACCACCATATTAAAGAGCATATTAAATACTATCATGACACTCCGCCACAGCCTTCTGGACGAGCGCCATCGAGAGATTCTGGCACGCGACCGCGATGTGGTGCCTGAGATCAGCGAGATAGTCGATTTCTCCGCCACCGTAGACCACCCTATTGAACTCCGCCCGAACCGGGTAATTGAGGGGATTCAGGTGACCTACTTGGATATTCCATCTTCTTTAGGTACTCAGCCCCCTTCCATTCCAAGTAGGCGAGTGTTTCTCCAACGCCCTTCGATTTCATGTGGTGGCACTCAATGCTGTAGCAGTACAAAGTTTCCAAGAAGGTACGGGCGACCACATGTGAGGAGGATATTCTCTTTATCCTTAGCATAATTATCTCCTATA